AAAATATGTAGGTAGGGATCTACGATATTGATAGGTTTTAAATCTTTCTAAAACAATGTAGGTAGGGATCTACAAACGCTTGTAGAAAATATGTTAGACCGGGTAGGTAGGAAATTTTTGTAATCGAGTAGGTAGAAAATGTACTAGACCGCGGATATAGGTAGGAATGAACATGTAAGATTAGGATCAAGGCATGTGCCATGCAGCCTTAATCCTGATTAACAAGGCTAGTAATGTTTAAGATAGATGTTTAGGGTAGGATATAGCAGGTTTAAAAATTAGGAAAATTGCAAATGCACTGATTAATATGAATCACTGCATATGCATGTAAATGTAAGATTAAGTTTTGTTTATGTAAGGTAAGGTTACATTTATTGTATGTAAAAACTATATATAAGACTTCAATAATAAGAATTCGAATTGTAAAGCATAAGTAAATGAAATTTATATCGAGAATTTAATGTGTGCGATGAAGTATAGCATACAATAAGTGTAATTTTGCCAGAAATATTGCCATGTGTGGTTCGTATTTATTATGTATTTACTTTATTGTATCGATATATATGTAAAAAACTTGGAAAATTGTAAAACTCAAAAATTGTAACACACTCTGATAAATTGTAATAAACCGGTAAAAGATATATTTTTTGAAAATGCAACTTTTCAGACACACATATATTTGTGTGCCGTCAAACCAATTTTAAATAATGTACGTATTTTATTGTTTTTACTTTGTAATGTAACTATATGTATATATGTAGCGTTTGTAAAAAAATAAAAGCAAATAGCAGCAAATGATGATAAAGGAGATGGTACCTGAGTACACTCTACAAATTCTGATGCTGCTCGCTAAAATAAGATTCTTTTCTTGACTATCACATCTTTTCTTGTATATCACATTTATGTTGTACGAAAAGTTGCAATGTTTTTTCTTATCCTTTTCTGTTTTCCTGTCTCATCTTCTCATCGCGAGATCGGTCATTTTAAATTTCAAAAAAAATCAAATTCACGCTCTCGAATATATTCACACACTTAAAGAAAGTGACCATTTAAACTCGTGCACATAGCACAGAATAGAACCGCACGCTGTGGACATAGCGCACCGACATGTCGCTCGTGGACTGGCTGCGTAGTTCCAATGTGTACCACCCGTGGATCCTATGCGCTAGTTTACAGGGCGGAAAAGTGATTACACATTCTTTTATGGATCTGGTTGCTCTCAGGCTTCTCTCTGCTTTTGCTAAGACGCGTGCGCAGTAGCGGTAGACAGTGTTAAAGAAGCGAGCAGATTGGCTAAGGTGGAAGCGCCATGACTCTCTGTCGCCAGAACAGCTTTGGCGGCATCTTCGTAATCTTTGCAACTGGTATGCGCACTAGTATTAGAAAAAAATCTGAGTTTACACGTTTTGCGATGAACTAATTGCGTGCTAGTTAATCGCAAGTACACGACTGATCTTAAAAAGCAGCTGAGACGAGCATGTGTGCTGACTAGACATGTAGGTTTTATTAAAATAAATTACACATGTAATCTTTTGTCGTATAACAGTGCTCGATAAAATACGCGCAATATGTGTAATTTGTTTTAAATAAAATTTATTCTCAATCACAATTGGTCTTGGAATGTATTCTTCTCATTTGCTTGATGCATTGTTTTTGCGTAATGCGTCTTTAACTTCTCCGCCATAATCTGCGCTGATACAATTTTATGCTGCAAGTGTGTATTTTGTTCTTGAGAACGTTTTTTTAAACGTCTGGTGTAAGTAAGAAATTTTAAAAACGTGGTCCATGCTTGAACATTGACAAAATCCGTTTTTCTTAAACATTCTCTCTGGTGTTCACCGGTCTTTACAAAAACCTTGTCCAGGTAACTGATGTCAGATCGTTTTCTGAAAACAGCGAGAGTTTGTTTGTAATATTTGCAAGTTAGACAAAAATTAGAATGTTTCATTATTTCTCTTTCAGCCTCACCTTTTTTGAGGTTTGCCATTTTTCGTGACAAGTAATGGTTCGGTGCTAACATTATTATCCTCTTGAAAGTCAATCATTGAGTCATGTTCACTGTCGTGTTGATCGTCGATTATCGAACCATGTTCACTGTCATTTTGAATGTCCATTATCGAGTCATGTCCATTCTCATGTTTATTGTGTTGCGTTTCAATTGATGAGTCTTGTTGAACTTCAATTGTAGAGTTATGTTGAACTTCGATTGTTGAATCTTGCTCATTATCATCATATTGAGCATCGATTGTTAAGTCAAGCTGATCGTCATCACGTTGAACGATGATTATGGAGTCACATGGAATTTCGATTATTGAATTGCATTGATCGTCATGTTGAACTTCGGTTGCAGAGTCATATTGAATGTTTAACACTGAGTTAAGTTGATCGTCAGATTGAATTTCAATTGTTGAGTCATGTTGACTCTCATCTTGAATGTCGACTACTGAAACATCTTTCTTTGATTTTCTCTTACAAGATCTGTTATAAAAACAAAATTTATTATATTTCCTTAACACCAGATGTTTTATACATATGTAATTATATATAGAGTATCTTAATATACTCTTGAAATCTACTTAGTTTAATGAAAAACCCTTTGTACTTTTGGGTAAAGATAGATGGAATTGCAGTGTTCTTTAATCTTCTAGGTTGGACGATGGTGCCAGTATCATAATAATCATCTTCTGTGAAATGGTCGCTGCAAATTCTTGCAGTCTTATAAGTTTCAATAACACGACCAATACTTTTAAACCATTCCTCTCGCTTTTCTGCATTTGATGGGAAGCTATAAGTGTATGTTCTTGCATTGAATTTTAATTTAGGCTGAAGAAAGTGTATAAGAAAAAGTATAAGAAAAAGTATAAGAAAATGTATAAATAATGAAAGTGACTACTTACATATCTGTATTTGAATTTATGCATTACCTGTGAAATTTCCGCTGTGGAAATAGAGGATTATGTTCTTGCCAACATACAGAGCATACAACCATTTTTTAACACTTAAAAGACTCAGTTTGAGATTGCAATTGCAGTCGCAAATTGTGTGATTGCTTTGCTTACTTGTATAATATAAGATATCTTATAAGTGAACACTTTGAAGTTTTCGAGTTTTTATATACAAAATAATTAATTGTTTAAAATGCATCTACTATCTCAAATATTGATGCATTTAATCGACATGTTTTTGTACAAAATAAATCTATGACAGAAAACAAAGTGACGCTTTGCGCTTTTAGCAAAACGAATTATTAAGCAATATCACGGAATGTGCAGGTTAGGAAATCTGATATATTGTAAGAAAGATAATAATTGAACTTGGCGCTAAAGCGAAGCATCTCAGTAGTGCCAACAATGTTTTAGTGCAAACCATATATAATACACATATGAGAAATGTCAGAAATAACGCATGAAAATCAAACTCAAAAAATAGTGAGAAAGAGAAGTGGGAAAACAACACGTGACTAAAGAAAAGAGTAAAAAAGAAAATATTATAGATATATATATATATACCGTAATTACGTGACCGAAGTCAGTAACACCGCCGCGGTCGCGCGACCGAGGTCAGTGACTCTACTGCAGTCGCGCGACTGAGGTCATTGACTTCGCCGCGGTCGCGTGCCCGCGGTCAGTGACCCCCCCCCCACCAAGGCCGCGCGGCCGAGGTCAGTGACATTACTGTAGTATGTATATAATACATATAATACAATATAAAGTATAATATTATAAATATATAATAAATTATATGTATAATATGTATTATTTAATGTTATATATAATAGAAATTACACAGTCACGTTATTTTCACGCGTAAATGTGAAAAATAAATAATATTTATATATATATCTTTTTTGATGATGTCGTTTTGTATTAAAATCTCCAAGAAAACGACAAGAATTTTCTTTTTTGTCTACTATTCGTACCAGTGGCATATGTGAAACGGACATCAAGACACTAGGAGTAATTGCTATTGATATTAAAATATATGCATGATGCTAGAAACAATGCATGCGCAAAAGTAAGTTTTTCGATTTTCTTAATAATATAAGACAACGGAAGCATTGATGTGAAAAAAGATTGCTGTTTGAAAGTAATTTTCCATTGCTATAACAAATTCGATCATCGTTGGAGTTGTACGTAATTATATATATTATTGTTTTTTTTCATAAAAAAAGATTCAACGTCTCTTCTGTTCTTTTACCACAATTTCACTCACTGGATGCACTTGCCGATCATGTTTCTTAGTGTCTCGAAGAATAACACAATACGGTAGTAAGTATTTGTTCCCGGTGAGAGAATTTTAAAGATATTTGAAATAATATTAAACGCTTGTATGAAGATTTGTTTTGTAAATAGTTTATAATAAATACTCTATGTAATCATTTCCGGCTGTTACTGTTTGAAATCGTCTTGAATCACGAGCTCATTTTTAATATGTATTTAGTAAAAGTTGTGTAAAATGAAAAAATAAAAACTGCAGAGAATATCCACTCTCTGGACTTAATGACGAGCTTAAAACACACAGGAAATTGCAATGTTCTAATAGTTACATAAGTATAGTTTAATACAACGTTAAATAAAATGACAAAAGAGTTACAGCCGACACAAAAATGCTCATTACAATTGACAAGTCGCTCGTAAACGTAGCTACGTAGTTGCCAATGTGTTTTAATCATGGACATAATGCTGGCTTACAGGATAGAAAGCTATTAGAATTTTTCACGTGGCCGTTATTGGTTTTCTCTCTGGTGCAAACGCAGCGTATTGGAGCGCTGCACATCAAGAAATAAAATAAAGTACAGAATGACAGTCCAGGAGTCACGTGCGCAAAGTAGCAAGAAATGTAATAAATACAAGATAGTTTACATTTTATACAATTTTATTATTTTGACAGTGTATATTGAATATATACTAAACAGAGATATATGATATACATAATGTATCTAACAAAATCAAAATTACAAATGAGGTAATTATTTATATGTGATTCCACGAATGCTTGACTTTTCATTTTAATTTAATTCTAATTTTTTTTATAATTCTCTTTTAATTTCTTAAGTTAAAACAAATTATATCTCATTACATATCAATAGATATTATCCGAAGATACTTTGCTTTGTCACAAAAGAAAGTTTGCGTGGAACGTCTCTGTTCTTAAAAAAAAAAAAAAACGTCCACTGCTATAAAGCGCGCGAAACAAAAATTGCTGGCGATTTCCTAATATCTCAAAAAGTAACAGTTGCATTATATTTTAATAGATATCTTTTTCTATGATTTTTTCTTTCTTGACTTTTTTTATTCCTTTTGTTACACGGTCGGGGACGCTTCCTGGATCTCCGCCATTATATTACGCACAATGGCAGTCGTCAATTGCCATTCTAGTGGGGGAAATATCCGCCTATCTTGACGATAGTTCACACCCACTTCTTCCAACAGACTCTGAAAAAGTTCGTCTCAAAAATCGAAACCGCTTGTTCTCGCTTTTTGTTACTTTCTTGAATTTACAACAGTTTTAATTTAACGAAAACAATAGTTTATATAAGAATTTATTCTTTTATAAAAATATCGTGAAAAAAAAGGCAGATCAGCAAAAGATAACACCTGCGAAAATAATATTTGTAGAGAACACGACGACGTCTTTTAGATATCTTTCTGATACACGTGTTCTCTGGATATCGACGGACTAGCTCGTAATTTAGTTAGTGATTCTATCTCGCCAGGACGCCACAATAGAAAAACTTGTACATGAAATACTAGTGTATAATTGTAAGAAGATAAAACTTCTTGCGCGCGATAAAAACCTTCTCTTCCTAATAAAGGTTTTTCGCTCATACAATTAATTAAAAATCAAAACTCGCTAATTTGAAAATTTGAAACTCACGATTTTCAATTTGAATTCCGTTAATTATCTCTGATCTTCGATTTCTATCTTCAAAAAAAGCTCTTCCAAGTACATGGATTTCTTTTATAATTATCCTATGTATTAAAATAATCAATAAAAAAAAAATATGAAGATTATAATCTCAGATTATAATCTGTTTATCATTTCGTGTTACGAACAAATCAACGCGATATTTTTGTTCGCGACAGGAAAAAATTTTGCGCTTAACACCGTGTATATGTATGTGTGTTTGACAAGATCAACACACGGTAATCAACATACAAAAAATTTGCTGACACAAGAGATTCGCACAATACGACGGCAATAAATAAATTGAATTGTAAAATCCGATGTTATACCATTCTAATGAGTAATTTTCTGGCGACCGTCTCGCAATATGCGGAACTTCACACGGGACCGAGATAGAGTCACTATTTAAAGTACCGTCGTAAAATATTATGTAATCGCAATTAATACCTTCTCGCGCGCGCGCGTACTTCACCGGAGAGATATATCTCCGTGTGTACACCAAGCGACAAACTTGACGTTCATAGCACAACGTAGACATTCAGTCACGCTAAGTTTTTCTTTTTTTTTTTTAGCAAATGTGACCTCGAATATTAAATATATAAATTAAGAAAAACTATAACGGCTTATAAATTATTAATAACAATAAGTGTGACAAGACAGAATTTTTCTTTCAATTACATATTTGTGTGCGTGCGTATAGTTCGTTTCTCTCCGTAATTTTTTGTTGCAATTTTTGTCCCCGCCAGTATTTTGGAGAAGTTCTCCGTTATTCGAGATTAATCCGATAATATTATTATGCGCTTCCACGGGATCTTAATGTTATTCTCGCCGATTAAACATTCGAACTTCCGCGGCCATAATGTTAGAGTTAGCGGGAGCACTCTCTCTACGACCCTGGAGAACGGGGGGCTTTTAGATACTAATTTTATGTAAAGTTATGAGACGTTGTGGTGCTTCAATGTGCTATCATGCTCCCCGCAGGTGCCATTGAGTTCACGTGCTATCCTCCTCTTCCGCGCCGCAGTATAACTAGATCTTGTGCCAGAAATTACACTCCGGCTCTTTTGCGGAGAGACAGAGAGTTTTCATCAACGAAGATATATGCACGATAAGGCGTCACTGTGGAATTTGTAAGAAAATCCAAATTTATCTCTTTTTTTATTGTTAAGTGCGCAAATGATGCAAGAATGTTCGGAATTAGGCAAAAAAATGAATATATAAAGTAGTCGAGTTTTACATATAAATTAAATAGCCAAAAGCCATTGTACAAACGTTAAATTTGGCGCGTAGAGGTTTGTGTAATTAATTTTTTTAACGTTGTCTGAACGTTTGAAACTTTAGAACACCACCACGTTTACAACACTCGCGGCTGTAAAGTCATTTCTCCCGGGTGTGATCTCGTTGCTCACGTTTATCATATCCGAATTATTTGTTTTACGATTAATCAGCTATCGAATTTTCCGGACGATCTATTAAACGATTCACGATTACGTGTGTGTACAGTACGAGTGCATGTATGTGAGTATAAAATTATATATTTTGTTTTATATTATATTTTTATATACGCGTGCGTTGCGTTCGCGTAGAAAAAAGTTTTACTAGCTGCAAACAATGAAAAACATTACCGAATGTATCGCATAATAATGTGCAGCATGCACCATCGCGCGTTCAGCTATGCGCGCGCTTTCAGCGAGTCGAGGCCGCTTTATAGCGTCATAAAAAAAAAAAAAAAAAAATAGGAAACATTTTTACGGGCTGATCATTAAAGTTGCCGAGTCTGTGAGGCAACCAAGATGTTCGCCAATTAATGTCCGTGGACTCACGTAACTATAACTCTCCGACGTGTGCGCACAGCACGAAAGGATATATATATCGACTTACTTTTGTCTACGATCAAATTTTTTTTATCTTTTATTTCGCACTCGTCACGTGTAAAAGACTGAGAAAATATCTATTCCCTTCTATATATACATTCAATGACACGAAAAGTTTGACACATAAATTAAGTAATTGATAAAAGAAAAATTTATAACACAAGTATATATTATATTTGTCGATATAAAAAATGCGTGACAAAAATTAACGTGACATTGGTGTAACTAATATTTTTCGCATCTGACACTATAATTACTTCATTACTTAGTTTGACCGCAGTAAATGATTAAGATCGAAACACCAATTTGACGTAAAGATCTTCTTTTTTCACGTACTTATATGACCCACGTAAGCGGAAGCAGATGAGTGAATCTGGAAATATGCGTGAAAAAACCATTCAGTTTGTGCTTAAACACGCATGGTAAATCTATAATCTGTAATAAATTGTGAACGCGGCGCGTTCTATGAGACAAGCGTAACTTATGTTGTTTATTGTCTTATAAGCACTCAATAAACATGTGACGTTTCTACAACCTCATCCCTTCCTTGCTGTAAATATTATTATTGGTATACGCTATAAAATTTTAGTATCCGCTCAAAAGTAACTTTCAACATAATGGCGCGAGGACGCGATCTAACGGTCCGGTAATGTTCGCACATACGGAGAAAATCTTGACGCGTGTCATCATTTTTTCCAAATTTAATCTACAAATGTACAATGCAGAGAAAAACGCGTTATATTTCTTTTCAATTGCTGAAGTACTTTCCCTCGAAAGTATTCTTCGAAGGAAGAATAAACTTATTCATAACTTCAATAATATGTTTAAACGCTCTCTCTCTGCACATTGTCTTGTATTTTTCTTGGAGACTCTCTTTCTCGGCAGACAAAGCCTGAAGACAAAGTTTATCTACAAACTTATAACGTAAAAAACAAAAGACGGTTTTGTATCACGGAAAAACTACAAACAAATTTCCGGATCATATATTTGCGTATTGGGAATGGTACTGTAATAAATTCATCTCGTTCGCGTGTATGATGTAGCGATATACGCGTGCATAAATATGTAGGCGCGTGCGCCGACGTATCTTCATTCAGATGTAATTTAACAATCATCAAAACACCTGTTTTAAAGCGCGCGCATAGTGTACGTTTCCCACTTCAACTTAAGTAAACGTAATAAACAATGAGTATCGATCTTAATCTCAAGCCAAGATAAACTTGAGTTTTTGTAGTTTCTAAATTGTCTGAGCGTCGCGCGAAATGATTTATGAACCGCGGCGCGATTTGTAGGTAAGTGATATAAATCATTTCAGACTTTATTGTATATCTATATTATAAGTACTATATAATTATATAATATATCACACAAGTACGCACACCAATCGGATTTACGTGTAAACGTATCGTGCACGCGTATAATTTGTCTTAGCACATGTCAAAGTTTGACGAGATCTTTTCTTTAAGCTTTTACTCGCAAATTTTCATACAAATCACAAACGTGTAGCGCATAATCTGGCGCTAATTATATTCCATAGTTGGAGTTATGTTGACGTTTGAATTGAATTAAATAAATTGAAAAATAAGATATTTTTATGAAAAAATTCGAACTTTCGCTGCTGAGTCAAAAATAACCGTCCGAGTTGGGTCTGCGCAAGACACCATTTTGTAAGTTTGCAGTTTTGTTTAAAAGTCTGTCTAAAAACGGTACCCTTTTTTTTCTTGATGAGAAAAAAAAAGGAAAGAGTTGAACACGTATTCTTTTTTTTCTCAGCGAGAAAAAAAAACTAAGACTCTGTCAAAACGAACACTTGCAACAGCACTCATTTGCCAATTTTTCTAATCTTTGAATTCCTAATGTGAAAGCGCAAGGAAGAAACCACGAAGAAAAAAAAAGAGAGAGAGCACAATATAGGTAAGAGCTAACTTCCCTCTTTCTCTCATTTCTTTTATCTCGCTTGCTCTTCCGTCTCTCTCTTTCTCTCTCTGTGTTCTGTTCTTTTTCTGTAGGCGGGCGAAATTCTCTGCGCCGACCACTATACAGGTGTTGGACTCCATTCGCCGAACAGCGAACGTCGATTGGTTCGTTGTATCTTCTGGCGGGGACGAAGTCCGCCCAGCTCGACGACAGCGCTCTTCTTCGCACTCGCGTGATGCGCGGCTAGTAAGCCTTTTGTAACTTAAAAAGCTGGGTGCAGTATGTCAGTATCTGATCTTGATTCTCTGCGTTCGACGTTTAAACATCTGCTCGGATGAGGATCTTGTCTCGCCGTTCATTTGAATCAATTGTTCGATTGTGTAAGTGTTGTTTTTCGTTCGGTGTAACGCGTGCGTTTTTCTGACAGGCCGCAATCCAACGTGGCATTTTTAATTAGTGAAACGATTCTCGATAATCGCAGATTGTGATCGTCTATCGATCGCAACTCACTGACTCGTTTGTTATATTCGCTGTTGTCACACTATTTGCGCCGTGAACATTTCACAACCAAAACGATTCTCGATAATCGCAGATCGTTCGTATATCGACCATGTAATTAATTGTCGTTTCTTACGGCTGTATTTTTTGCGATTCGTTAAGACTTTTTTTTTCGTTAATACTCGTTCGTTAATTTTGTCATTTTACAATGTTCTTAATTACCGACTGTTTTGAGTGGCATTGTGAGGTGATGATACTTTTGACATGACATGATGTGATTTTTTTTTGCGTACTGTTTGAATGCACGTGCGTCACGTGAGTTAAGTGATCGGTGTGCGAAAGCATGCCGTCGTTCGATCTTTTTGCGCAAGAATCCGCAAGTGTCAAATCAAGCAATCACGCCAACTTCGTCAAAATGATACCACACTATAACCAGACGAATTTGGATGTTCCGTATCGTCAGCAGCAACAGCAGCAGCAACAGCAGCAACAACAACAGCAGCATCAACAGCAAACCTTTAATAATCCAGGAATCGCGCATAATCAGCTGTTGATGCAACAAACGCAGCAACAACAAACACTTGCGCAACAACAAGCTCAACCGTATACGACCATGATCGCCGCCACAGCCATTGATAATCCGCAGCATCAATTGTACGGATATCCGTCGAAAGGATCATCCCCCACATCGACTCTGCCTCATCTTTATCATCATCACCATCAGACGAACTCGATCTCGTCGTTGCTCACCGCTGAGGTATTGAGCTGGTCTTATTCCGGTTTGCCGACGTATCAACAACAACTTCTATTCCAGCAACAGCCGTATCTTCACTCGACGTCGCAGCAATTGCAACGAAATTATCACCAACGTCCGTCCTCGCAGCAGTCCTACGGGGGACACTCGCCACCGTCTCTGCAGCAGCAACATCTTCAGCAGAACTCGTCGTCGCAGCAGAACTATCAGCAGCATCAGTCGCCGCCGCAGAACTATCAGCAGCAACACCCGTCGCCGCCGCGCAACTATCAGCAGCATCCGTCGCCGAATTATCAGCAAAACTCGACGTCGCCGTTGAACTTTCAACAACGCCCGTCGCCGCAGTCCTATCAGCAGCAATCCTCGCCGCATCAGTCTTCCCCTCAGCAACCCTATCAGCAGCAACAGTCGTCGCAGTCTTTGCCGCTGCAGATGCATCAGCAGAATTCGCCGCCCCAGCAACAAATGGGACCGGGTTATCACTCTTCGCCACCGCACCAATACTCGCCGCCGCAGCACTATTCGCCGCCCGTCACGTCGCAATCCTCGCCTAATCAACCTGCTACGTCGTATGTGCCGCCTTTGTTCCCGGGCGTGCCCATGAACAACGGCGTGAACAACAGTCTGAACAATAGTCTGGACGGTAGCGTGGACGGCAGCATGAACGGCAGCATTCACAGCAGCCCGTCCGTCGCGTCGCCCACGGAAATACCCTCGTATCCACGCGGGGGAAATATGAACAATTTACGAAACGCTCCTTCTATGTGCGCTCAAATGAATCTACCGTCCACGTCGACCGCGATCGGTCCGATCTCACCGAGAGCTCTCGACATACCGTCCACCTCGAGGCGTTTCCAACCATGTCCCAGGGAAAGGAGACAACCTTACGATTGGATGAAGAAAACGTCGTATCAGAGTCAACCGAAACCAGGTCAGTGTTAAGATGAACAATGTACGCGTCGTTCTTGTTCGCATGATTATTGATTGTCATGAAAAATAAACGCGTGTACCTATATTAGAAAACATTTAATTTTAAATCTTTTTCCGATACATATTGTTCTTCATCTTTTACGGTATCACTCAATTAGCGTTACGATAAGTATTAGAATCATGTGTCCTTTTCATAAAAAAAACTTCATTCTGTGATTATTATAAAAATCGAATTTTTATTGAAAGCAAACGTAGCAACTTCGCTATGTAGATAAAAAAAATTAACAAACTGCGCGCTCCCCGGAAGCGATTTCCGTCTGCCGGCGGAATTATTTTATTCTTTGTTCGCTCTCGTCATCTCGATCGCGCAATTTGTTTTTATCTTATCTCGCATTTGACTGTACAATAAGTGTGGCACAAAAAACGCAAAGAATTTACGTGAAAAATGGTACGTTGTATATTATAGTGGTACATTACAATTGATTTCAAAGAAGATCAAATCGTCATCACCCGTACAATTGTAGCGTAATCTAACAAATAGAACACACACATCGAACGTATTGTAAATTTTACTATTTTATTTTAGGCGTGTATATATATTTATACACGAAAAGAATTTATAAAAAATTTATTAATTTTATGTTACATAAATTGAAACATTATTCATTCAATTATAAAGTACGTAACATCTGGAAGTATTTAAGTTTCGATCACGATGCGCGACTAGACTCTAGTAGGATTAGAACTTTCAACTTCAATGAAAACCTGCTTTCTCAGTCTTTCAATAAGCAGCTCGAAAAGAAGTCAAACAATCAAAAAGCACGTGAAGCTCGCATCTCTAACGAGAGAAGCGAAGAACGCGATGAGGAGAGAGACGCGCAACTCTTCTCTTCGCGCATATAAGTATATCGTATACGCGCGCGGCCATAAACACATCTCGTCGGTCTAGATACGGCGCAAACCGGGTGTAAACACACGGTAACAGACGAGCAAATATCTAATTGCTCTCAAATATTTGTGAGATGATCCTTTCTCTCTCTCGGTCTCTCTTGTCATCCGCCTTGATTTTTCACCGGACTCGAAAGAAAGTTCCTCCCTACGTGTGTGAGCGTGTCTCGTCCCACCTCGAGCCTGAATCAACACACGCGGGAACGGAAGAGTTAATTCTCGTTAATTTCATCGTTTTACGTAACGAGGAGCGATTTCTCTTCGCGGCATCACCGCGTAAATCCCGAGTGCAATTCGATCGCGCTCGGGGTCAAGATCAATTTCTCTCATTAACACGTATATATATATATATAAATGGCCTTTTGATGAAAGAGATTGTGTTGCCGTTCATTGTTGCAGTGTGCAACGCCGCGGGAAATCCGGATTCGCCGTCGTCGATTAACGAATTGTGCTGCCGACTTGAAACAATCGGTACGCATTTACAATCATTTTCATCAGTGCACGTTAATTATTGTTACCTCGATGTTTGCATGTTTGCGTTATTGCATTTTGGTACACGCAGTTCTCTCGATGTTGCTCGTTCCAAGTTTAATTATTAAACAAGCACGTGTGCAAAGTTTTTAGATGTGAGCGTAAATTCTCGAGAACTGCGAATATCTAAAAACAAAAAAAAGAAAAATTGAATTAAAATTTATTTAATTAAATGTTAGCAAATGCGATTTTTTTCGTTCTAATTCTCTCGATCGTAATTTTATTTCTCTTTCTGTGCTTCTCATTCGGATTTCGTGCCCGTGCGGCAGTAAGTGCGCAATTTTAAATGCCTCAAAACGAGCGTCCTGTACTTGCAGCGGCTATTATCTGCATTTTATGGTTATATTGCGGGCAGAAGCCGTTCGACAGATCCTCTCCTTGCCCGTAACAACAGCCCGCGCTCCACACTCGCGCAGATCGCGGGGCTTATTGTAATTTAGTGCGAGGGATGCGCTTCGTGTGCGCTTTCTTGTGCGCTCGCATGTTCGCGTTTTTTTTTTCCTTTTTTTTCTCTCTCTCTCTCTCTCTTTCGTGAGCACGATTCTGCATGGCGGCACGCGATTTCCTTCGCTTTTATGGCGCCTTCGTCTCGCCGCGATCTCTTCATCGGTGCGATTAAAGACGACACCGGCAAAAAAAAGGAAATAAAGAAGAAAGATTCGAAGAACCATTCGCGTTCGCGAAGAAAACCGGTCGCTGTTGTTTTTCCGAGCGATTGCGAAACAACAATTTTACATCTATGCAAAATAATTGCTAGAGAATACGAATTTTTATCGCGTCTCTCGAAGAGATCCCTTTCTGACGAAGTTGTTTGTTTAAGAATACGAAGTGCAAGAATAGAGAAGTTTGTCTCTGTGTCACTTTCCAGAAAAACATCTTGTTCGACCAGATACAAATTTGTAAACTTTGTAACCTATTATAGTATAGGATCTATTGCGGCACAAGGACCGTGACTAATTGGAGGCCCTCGTAGCTATTTTGTCACAGATAATAATAATAATAAGGGAATTCAGTAGACAGTCTAATAGAAAGGACAAAAAAAAAAACTTTTGTGAGAAGAGGACAGTACTTTTGCGGCATCCTCGTTCAATCTGGTCCGCGGGTGTGTGACTGACACAATCATTTTTACATTCAAAATAATTGACCGAAAGATATCGCAGAAATATTACAAAATTTAATAAAATTACAATATTATCACACACACACACACACAAAAGAATTTTTGGGCCGAAGGGTTGTGAAGAGAATTGCAGCGCTGTGTGTGAAGAGAATCGCGCGACACTTTGGAAAAAATCTTTCTCTTCGTTCGCGGACACTTGATATGCGATATACAAATGCGAAGTGGCACAATAGAGGTAATTGTGACGGCGGTGACAAATGGCACCCGCGCGGATCGCCGTCCGCGGTTTGTGCGCACACACGCCCGCCGGTTGCGGCTCACATGGCCGTTCGTCGACACGAGAGATATCACGCCGGGGGTTGTCAAACGCCCACAGGAAAAAGCGGGGCACGCGCTTTTGCCATTTCGCAGCCCGAAATGGAAGGAGCAAACGCTATAATGGGGTGGCAACGAGTCCCAGGAGCACCGTTTCTTCACCCCGTCGCTCGCGCCTCTTTCGTCTCCTTCTTTATCTCTCTTCCTTGTCTGTTCCCTCTTTTTTTTTCTCTCTTTCTTTCTCACCCCTGCATCTTGTAACGTTCGTTCGTTCGTGAAAATCCTCTCGTTCCGTCATACTCTCGTATTTCGCGCGCGAATACTCGGGAGAAATAGCTCAAGCGATCACCGAGAGTGGATTTGGTTCGCTTACTTAAAGCTACGGATTGATGGACCGGTGAAATTCTGAAGCGTGACGTTTATTTTAAAAAATTTCGTCGTCGCGTCTCCGGTGTTGATCGATGTATTGAAAATCGATGAATTGAATATCGAAGATTAACGACAAGCGCATCTCTCTGTGTTTTTCGCGCGTCTATTACACTTTATGAACGAAGCTACTTGTACATCTCGTAATAAAATAGTATTGCCGTAATTAAATCAATTTTTCTTAAAATTTTACGCTATTTTCTGCTATTAAATGCGAATAAAATTTTGCTGGTAAATGTGATATATTGAGGACACTGAGGTATATATCATGGCCGCGTTCAGTGCCTCGTCGGATAATCGTTGCTAGCGCTCCGCGATATCAGTAAGATGAAAAAGACCGACGGTAATCCTTCCTGAGTCACACACTTCCGTGTGTTTGCGCGTGCATCGCAAACGACGAACGACTGCCCTTTAAAATAGCAGCTTGGTATACAACGCACAAAACCATTCGAGACCGGCCAACTTTTCCAAATGTAAAAAGTTCACCTCTCGAAGTCTCTTGCGAAAGTTGATCTCCGCGCGTTAACCGTGAAAAAAGTTTCCGCAACACTAGAAAACACCGTTGTCTCTTCACGGCGGGGAAAAGGAGCAAATAAGTCGTTCGTTTTTTGGCATTAACTTTTACTTTGTATGTAACAAAACACTTTTGAAAGCTGCCAAAATTATCTTCCAATTGCTTCAAGACGAAGAGTTTCCGTCTCCGCGCGTAATGCGCACGACACCTATCGCAAGACCAACGCGCCGCGTACAGTTTGGAATATTTTTTTTTTTTTTTTTATTCGATTACAATCTTCCGAGATAACGAGTCTACCTTTTGATAAGATTTTAAGGATGTTTCACGTTTGTTTACGTGCATCAGGTTGCGCGACATTCGCTGTTAACGCGTCAAATATTTGCACAAGTCTAACAATGCGTGGCATGACAGAGAAGAATAAAAATGAAAAAGCGAGAAAGGAAAAACTCTCCGAGCCACGAGTTGCGTGATATCGTATTGACAAACTTATGGCGAATATAGAGTGTCTAATATTTAGTTTTCATTTTATCTTGTGTAACACATTTTATTTATATAACTGAGATTCAAGGCGCACACACACTGTTCTGTTATACAATCGCGTAATTCGATTGAACTTACGTGTCGCGCAAATTTATTTTATATAAATTTATTTTTATTTTTATATATATTTATATTTATTATATTTTATTATCTACGGCAGAGACATTCACTGTTTTTAAGTAATAGTTTACTTTTCTTCTAAGAAAACTACTTTTATTTTATTTACAAGAATTTTTATCTTTGCTTAAGATGTTTTTTTCTATAAAATAATAATAATAATTGTAATATTATAATATAAATTATTATTATAATATTCTAAAAATATAATTTATAAAAAAAAAGTAAAATAATCTGTCTCTAAGGTACTGACTTACTTATTGTTGAGTATCCAACAATCGGACGTGTGATCGAAACTCGGTAGCGGCGAATAAACAATTGTAATCGGCGATGATCGGGTGCCGATTTATCATATACATATATAGCGCGTGTCTCTCGCGTAGTGGCAATAAAAGAATCGCGTCCGCGTTTCGAGCACTATCGTAGATACGGAGAAGTGGAAATGTGCTCGTGATAACGATCGATCTCAATCTGGAGTTATATAGATGAAAACCCCGAAATTCCAACAGTATTCATAATACATATGTCGCTTCGTTATTTGAATACGGATTACAGAGATTTTGAACAATGTGAACGCGCGTTGTACGTGTCGCACGCGCGTGTATTGCCTAATTCTCTAAAATCTCGATGCTTATGTTACTCCACACAGATTTTCTGCACAATTATTTACTAAAAATTAAAGCAGACTCTCCGTAGATAAGGCAAATCTTTCGCAAGTGACGGCGCAAGTACGTAAAGAGATATAATGTGCACGTATATATATATATATATTGTTCTCTCCTCCACAAAACAATAGAGTATGCAAAAACTTCGTTTAGTTTCAGCAAAAGTGTCTGATATATCTATCAGTTTTAATTGTGAAAAATATTTATTATCAATGAGGAACAATTTTTTTTACGCGAGAAATAAAAAAAAAATATATATATATATAAACTTCTATACGAGAGAAATTCTACGGATTCCTTTCGAGAGCCGGTCGCGTATAGGTCTTTCTGATTCATCTGCTTTTTTTATGGGACTATTATATTCCCTCATCTCTTTGCTGCACATCCTTGCGCATCCTGCGTCAGCCATGCCACATCTTACCTGGATTCACACAACTATGGTGGATGTGGCCGTACGGTCGAAAAGTCTAAGGTCGCTGCTTATTCGTGCTCGCCATGAAGGCCTCGACGCGCTTCGCTTATCGAGGAGTGGTGGATTAACGTGCACGCCTTTGATCTCGCCGGCGCGTCTTATCTAATCGTGTCCCTCTCCCGAGCCATCTCTCGCTTTCCATCCCCGTTTCCCATCCCTCTCTTTCTTCATTCTGTAGTTTGCGCGCGTGTTACCGCCACGTAGCCAAGAACCGCATTCACACCGTGTGAGATTGTGAGAGACACACTTCTTCCTTTCTTTTTTTTTTTTCTGTAGCGTACATACCTCGGCATGTTCAGTTTCTCTCTCTCTCTCTCTCTCTCTTTCCCCCTCTCTCTCTCTCTTTTTTTCTCAGGAAGCAACAATAACGTTTCTCCCCGTGCGAATCGTACACGTGCGACTCTTTTTTTTACATCGTTACGTTTCAGACTTCTCACTTTTTTGTATGTGTGTGTTTTTCTGTGTGTATAATATTTTACATTTCAATGTATATTGTAACAGTTTATCAGTTTTCGTGAACGGTCGCGTTTTTTTATTCGACAATATTACAACGTATGTTCGTTGTAATTGGCCAATTCGGTGAAATTTTTTGAGTAAGTTTCCGTCCGCTTACAGCGATTAAGAAAGTAGAGCTCAATTGTTTTCTCTCTCTCTCTCTTGTAAGCGCGAACGTTGTCGTAGAAAACAAATTGCAAACATTCTTCCTTAATTCTTATCGTAAAAATTACGATACTTATTTCTTTACTTTATATTAACGTAGTCGGCGTGTGCGTGCTCTTGCTGAAAAATGTTATCTCTTTAACGTACGTCTATTGACAAGAGAATCAGCACGGAGATATATACTTTATATTAAGCCGGGACACAGTTACTCTAACACAATCGAGTGAAAAGCTACACAGAAATTTCGTGCTCTTTTGTTTCTCCATTCTGGTTTTATTTTATTTTATTTTACTTTATTTTATTTTATTTTTTTTTTTTTTTTTAGTTTATCTTTTCGAGTAGCTGACGTATAACTTTAGAACGTGAATCAGCACAAAATTGATTTTGCAAAACTGGAGCAAATAAAATCTGAAGTCTGAAATGCAACAGCGAACGTTAGTAACAAAAGAGCACGAAATTGTCGTAATTTTATTATTCGATTGCTGCGTCCCAGATTAATTAATATTAATCAATATACGTTATACAGATAAACGTAACACGTTATGTAATATCGCTGATCGACTTTTTGATTTTTAATACAGGGAAAACGCGCACGAAAGACAAGTACAGGGTGGTGTATTCCGAATTTCAACGTCTAGAATTGGAAAAAGAGTTTCGTACGAATCACTACATTAACATCACTCGTAAGATCGAGCTGGCTGGACAGCTGGATCTCACGGAGCGTCAGGTAAGTCGAAAAAAAAAAAAAAGAAACAAACTCCGATGTTTGCTTATTCGACACTTTTCCGTCAAGACGTTTTGAACGCGAGCGATCCTTTTTTTTTGTTTCAAAATGTTACAGGTGAAAATTTGGTTTCAAAATCGACGAGCCAAAGAACGCAAGGAGGAGAAAAAAAGGAAGGAACAAACGGCGGCACGGAACAGAGAGCAAGAGGCGGCGGCTCAGGTGGCGGTCGAGACCAACCGATTGATGTCTTATCCTACCGCCGAACAAATGGGAAGGATGTTGAGCGGAGTGATGCACGCCACCACCGGGGGTCCCACTTCCGCACAGATATCCATGTCGCTGCAATATTCGAACCCTAGTCAACACTAGATTCACTCAAAAAAAAATAAAAAAACAAAAAAAACGTTCAACAAGGTTGCCTCGAACAATCCGACGCTGGCTCTTGCTCTTGTAATTTATATTTTTCCGGCTGGATCTTATTCGCGATGATGATGTAATGATTCGTACGAAATTCACAAAAAATACGAAAGCCACACGTGGCTATTACGTAATTTTTCGGTATCGAATCCGATTCCGAAAAATTACACACGATAGCCGACTTCAGAAAACGAAAAGAGAGAAAGAAGACAAACACACACAAAGGAATTAAATCGTCAAACAAGGAAACGCAGGAAAACCCAAAAAGCTTGATGAAGAACTGGGAAACGTCCATGATGATGCTCATCAAAAGTAAGTGAAAACCATATGTGACACAAAAATATATTCACACTGCTATAATATATTCCATAGAAATAATCATAGAAAAAATTATTTGGAAAAAATAGTCTGCTGGTATAAAAAAAGTACTTATATTAGTAAAACCATGTACTTCAAGAAATATATTAGAAACAAAAAAACTCAGAAAAGGTTTAAGTGAAACTTTCGAAAATTTCTACGTTCTCAAATTTCATATACAGGTGTCTTTTAGATAGAGAGAAGAAACATCCCAGAAAGAAATATGACCTGTGTAAGAAACTTGTGACACGAATCGGAGTGTAGACGTTTGCCGAAGAACAAGTTATATACGGAGAAAAAGCGAGAAATTTATTAACCCTTAAACGTCTCTTTACTTTTTTATTTACTTTGAATATAATTTGAATATATTTTTAATTATTTAATTAAAAATATATTCAAAATTATTATTTAATTCAATAATCAACAACATGTATATATAAAAGATATATATTTTTTTGTTTTAAAATACAAATTTTTTTGTGTATTATTTCAAAATTTACCGTTCGTTTTTTTTTATTTTCATTTTACGCGATTAAACTTGTTAATAACTGCGGTTTTTTATTTTAATGTATCACTGATGTATTTTTTCACATAACGTCAGAATTTTAAAACCACTATAGTCGGAAGGGTTAATAAAAAACCTGGAAAAAAAAAGAAAAGAATGTATAAAATCTACATACAATTTGCCAATTTACGAAGTAAAAGTTGTGTGATGCGGAAGACGCGGTTACAAGGGGGAGTGTGAAGTTACCATAGAATAGAGTCTTGAAGGATTAATACAGAATTTCCGTATCCATAAACACGTACATCAATTACCCAAGATCGCATTCCGTTATTTACCGAAAGTTCTGCCGGTATAAAACACGTAACATGTGATTTTCAGCAGAATATCGGAAACGCATCTCTAATATTCACCGCATTTCATCTGTTATACGTACACTGATCAGTTTTTAATCATTTTGCAAAAAAGAGATGTCAGAACGTGGGAAACACGCAAATGCCGCTCTTAAAAAATCACAAGACTTTCTAGTCAAAATTGTGGAATTTTTTTATTAGCTCGGTATGATAACTTTACACTTCCCTGAATGGAACTAATACTGTGATAAACAACAGTTCGATAAATACTGTTTTTACGAACAAACGCGCTGATCTCATTAACTTCTTCGATTTCATTAACTTTATTGACTTATCCACGTTTATAGCGATTTTTAATATGAATGTGTTTCAACGTTCATGAGGAAGACGGTTGACACAATTTTACCGCTTTTAATTGCTTTACAAAATATTTAAAGAATCATTTAGATATGAACGTCGTTTAATACGAATTTATATATTGTATCATTTCGTATATAACGCACGATTAGGATACAATATAAATTTGTTTTATAGTACGAAAAATTAGTCGAAGAATTATTGATCAATTTTTCTTTATAAATAATGTTTTCTGTTTTAAGTTTACGCGGAGAGAGACGTGTTATCTTCACTATACTGTACTGTAATAGTTGTTGCTGTTAGTAATACAAAATATTATAATTAATATTTGGTTTATAAAATATTATAATTAATATTTGTTTTACTTGAGTGTAACCTGTTTTTTTTTTTTTTTTTTCAATTTTTTAGCACAATTACATTTACATCGGATTTATTTTTGTTTTAATTCAAAACAATATCCCCGAAACTGTTTTATTTGACATACCATAATAAAAATTTTATAACTAAACTACGCACACGCTCCTATACGACGATATTATTGCCATCGAGAATGCGCTCGACAACAATTGTACGATATTCCGTTAACGTCATGTTCTTTTTCTTTTTTGTCATTGCTTGCGTGGAAAAAAATTATGTTAAACTAACGATTCTTATAAAAAAATTTACATTTAACGGCAGAATTGCTTCTAAAGAAATGTTGTCGGTGTCGAGTAATCCGTGAACTCTACTATATTAAATGACATGTATATATACCATGTGCGGTGCTACGATATTTTAGATATAGAGAATAACATTAAATATGTGTGCCTTAAAAGAACGTTAAAAAAGTAATAGGTTTTTTTTTATTATTATGTCATATAAGATAAATTATGTAATTTATAATATTGTAACTTTTTCGTAAGATATAACTTATATATAATTTAAATGACTTTAAATAATAGTAGGTAACGTGTTAATTTGTAAATAAATAAGATCGTTATCTTCATATGTAGATCCCAATAAAATCTGTATATCTTGTATAAATGTTACACCCCCCCCAGTCTTTTTAGTCTGCATCTCATCGTTCGTTCTCATCGATTGAAATTCAATATAAAAATTTGCGTGTAGTTAAAACACAATGGCGTATAAAATCACGTAATTTAAATTTTTTTACGGTAGAATTTCAACGTTTATCATCTGCGATTCGAATATGAGAATCCGATTGAATTTTATGTATGTGTGTATTTGTTGTCTTTTCTCAATGATTTTTGCGACGATGTTACGAAGTCACCGCAAAGTTTCCTCGTGCGATTTTGTTTGTCGTTCCGCGACGAGGAAGTTTCTCTCCCGTTATCAGTCGTTTGGCCACCATGTACGACGTAAACAAGTCTCGCCGGATCGTGCATAAATACAAACGTAAAACCGCGTAATGTGAGGACGATACCATTTCCCCGTCCCGGATGGAGAGAAGACAGTGGTTGGCGCGGTCGCGCGCCCCCCATCCACGCATACCGCGAGTGGAGACGAAGGTGGCAACGAGTCCCGCGGGGGCACTGAAGTTAACTGCCAGATCGATGTCCGACCCCAGCTCTCCGACCCCCTTCCCCCCCGGTCCTCTCCCTTTTGGTACCCAACCCTGAAACCAACCCCCGTCACACACAGCAGCGACGGGCTGTGGTCTGTCGAGACGAGTCGCGGGAATAACTTTGTACGGTTATGCGACGCCGATTCTCTCAGAGTCGAGATTTCTTCCCGACGGCGGGAGAAATCGCTCGCTTCCGTTCTGTAAACACGACCATCTCGAGCGTTTAAATGCTTGCTCGAATGAGATCGCAACGCCTTCGTGCCGAATAATAAAGTAACTACACGCGCACGAACGTTTGTACAAGTAAAGATAAACGAGACCGAGAATTGTTCGCGTTCGCAGAGAGACGCGTTTTTAAACGCTTAATTATTTCAGCGCCAAGTAAAAATTTAAAAGAATCGAGCATTTTTTTCATTACACCCACGGTCGTGGAAGATAATGAAATTTTTAAAAGATGAAGAATTTTTTGATTTGTTAAAAATGTCAAAAAAGTTGTGATATTTGATTTTTGTAAATTCTTCTTTTAATGTTTGTGACACACATAATTTTTAATCAAAATTTCACGTGTTATTTCGCAAACTTGACTATTAAAATAGTTTCGTTAACAAACATGGGACGCAAGGTCCCCGGATGAATCTCCGAATGATCACGGCCGACGGAATGAGAGATGAGCGCGGTCCGGGAATTAATGGACGGTGGTGCATAACCGTTTCTCTGTGTTCCAATTATTATTGCGGCGCAGATTATGTGCGAGGGTGCGGCAATTCGTTACCGTCGATATGTCAATGTTTTAGCGGGAAAATGTGGAGACTATGACGATGTGCTGTCGTCGGAGTTGATGATACTAAAGTATTGTGTAGAGAGACGGGATTTATTTCGTTCAAATAAAATAAAGAATGATATTAAAAGAAACGACCGTGACATCGGGATTTGACCGTGTCGCCGGTGTCTCTTCATTGTTATTCGTTTCAAAGGTTATTTGTCAAGACCGACGCAATAAAAAAGTCATCAATCGAACGTTTATGTTCACGCGTCTAGACAGAGATACATTGCTATGAATATACAAAATACGTTTATATATTCGATCGTACCTCTTACAACTCATCCTTATAATCTATTTTGACAAAAATACAGTTTTTTTTTATGCATTAGCTCGTCGTATACCATAATAATAATAATTGAGATACATTTTTTTACGTATCTCAATATACATGTTTTATGTTAATACATGTATTATGCATCAGCGTCGTGTATCGATTGGAAGATTCCCAGATTTCTTGGGCGCAATCAAGAGATGAAATTTATTCAGGCACACTGCGCCGACAAAGGCCGCCTCGTTGTTCATTCCACAACCAGGTAAATTAAAAATGAATATATCAATTTTGCGCGAGAATCCGCGCACTCTTGTTAACACAAGTGTATGTTAATATCTCACGCAAAATTTAATATGAAATTTAAGTTATTTCTCTCAATCAAAAGAAACATGTGACTACAGCAAGAAAACAAATTATAATTTGTATTCTGAGAAATATATTTATTACGTATTGTGTTTTCTGGTTTTTTTTTTTGCAGGTATTTATATTCTTAAAAATTTTCTTCATTTTATATCGAAAAACTCTGAATTCTCGACACACTTCTGTTACGGCAAGATATGTCCCGCGACATAGCGATGATCCTTTGCGGTATTGTTCGGAGATGAGAACGAACACAATAAAGAAACGAATATGGTACACGGGTGCATCAAAATTCGCAACACGGGTGTAAAAACATGAAGTTAAAGATAACGGAAAAAGGGGATGGAGGAAGAGATCGGCCAGTTTAGAGAGATCCGATATTATCTTGTGAAGACTTAAAAATTTTTTTTTTTTTAGAGGTTGAAACGCGTCTAGTCGGCACTGTGTGCATAATTGGAACCCAAAGGATGTAAACGTGGCATCTCTCGCTGGAGTATAACTCAAAATTCCGACTCGGAAAACATCTTTTTGTTCGATTTGCTTGAAGTCCGTAGCCCGGCACCGGTCGGAAACACCAAATAGATACTTTTATGAGGGGCTATAAACTCGCTGAATCTCGATTCTCGAGTATCGATGGTTCCAAAGGGACTAATCTGCAGATGAAAACTGTAATAAAACGCTCGACCTGTGTGTACGTTTGCACATCTTTACGCTTATGTTAAAGTAGCTCAGGTATTTCTCAGGTATTTCCTTAAACCTTTTTTTTTTTTTTTTTTTTGCGTGATTCCTAAAAAAAACCTTTTTTGAAATCCGCTACAAAAGAAATGTTTTATGTGCTTCTGGACATTGTATTTCGTTCACTTTTGCTGTGACACACTTTTGAATTTATTGTTAAAAACAATTTCACCTTAAAAAATTTTTAAGTAAAAAACTGTGAAAGTAACAAGAGTGAAAAGAGCCTTTACGTTTTATATTATATGATGCGTTTTATACCGCAAAACAATTGCATTAGTTTTCTCGTCGTAACACTTTTCGATTCTTTACAGTTTAATCAAGGAAAAACATTCATTTTTATTTTGTCAAAATTTTCGTCAACGTAAAGAGCTCGAGTGTGTAATATTTTCAAGATAGGTAATGATAACGTATGTATATTACCAGAGATTCAAACCACTGAAGCGAGAATCAAACCACCTTGGGCGAAGATTCGAATCACAACAGCGAAGATCGGAACAATTTTAGTGAAGTCTTGAACCCACAAAATCGATAGTCGGAACCACTTGAATAGAAGATCGAATCAGATTCTTCTGTAAAAAAATGTGACATTTATCTTTTACTAAACACAAAAAGAAAATTACCGAGTTAAAAAAAAAAGTAAACATAATTTAAAGAGTAATCTTTACGTTTTTAGTGAAAGATATAGATGTCACATGTTTTTTGCAATCGGTAATCGGTAAACAATTGTTCGATCATTGTAACAGCTGGAGAGCGACGGTAAGATGTCGTTTGTCACGTTCTATCACCTTGGTGACAATCGTCGTTATGGAAACTGCGGCAAAACAACATGACAATAGAGTTCGTGAAACTTGAGATTATGCTTGTGAGACAGTTTTTTCTTTGTACAAAAAAAAAAGACAAGCTTAGGTGAAAGACCTCACGCGTCTTATGTGTTACATGATATTAAAAAATCGCATAATATAAAATTAATAAAAACTAAAGCAATTAAATAATAACATACTAATTTTATACTAATTCAAAAAAATTCTAATAATATATAATTTAATAAATTCTAATAACATACTAATTTTATACCAATTTAAAAAAGTCAAGTGTATTTTTAAAAGTGTTTTTAAAAAGTTAGTGAAACATATATTTTAAGTTTTATACTAAATACTCGTGTAGAAACGAATTAACGTGCGACGCAGCAAAGCGAGCGTAATATATTTATTATCATTACATCGGAATATGTCGTCTTCCGATATGAACTTTTTTGTAAGCGGCTCGTCACAGAGTTCGCAAGACAAACCTGAGTTAGATTTTAGTCTTTATCATGCGTATCCAATTATCGACGACGATCGTGATACGAGCTCTGTGCTCACCAAAGGTAAGAGACATTCGCCGGTGTCGGGGAATAAAAATTTACTGGCCGAGGACGGACTGTACGTGTCCGAGAATCTTTTCACCGACAAACTGATCAAACCTTATTATCGATTGGACAACGTTAAGTCGCCGCTGCGTTACGAGTCGCGATCGCAGTTTCGCGGGAAACTCGTTGAAATCGCTGTTCGCAAAGTTCGCATTCACAACGAAGAAGAGGGGGAATCCCGCGAGAAAGAATCTCGATCGATGATCGAGATCGTCTCGGTATCGATTCTGTTCAAAACGAAACTGATATGCAAAGCAAACAGCCCGTTCAATCGAAAACTTCACAAGCTTCTGATCAGAGATCCGGAATGCCACAATCTTTCGATACAGGTGAACGCGCGACACGGCGAATCCAGCGTGTTGCCGTTGCCGTTGCCCCAACGGTGCGTGAGGGATCATCAGATCGACATTGACTTCGCGATCGGCGGCGAAAACTCAGACAGAATATACGCGGGAACCGCAACATGCACCATTTCCGTTTCGCCTCACGGCGTCGACCAGATAGACGATAGCAACAACAACGAACGTGTTTACAGACCGAGCAATGACCCAAATGATCCCCACAACAGCCTATTTTTATTGAGACCTCAAAAGTCACGGCAAGTCGTGCCAAGAAAAGACGTTACGTATTTCTCGCTTGAGGATCCGGACTTGCTTTTCAACACGGGCGTTAATGTTATTCCGCGCGCAAAATCCCGGCGGGAGTCCGTGTCGAAATCGCCTGACATTGTTGTGACGGAACAGCCGGTGTTCTCTTTATTGAACGTTTCCCTGAAGAACATATTTCAAGCGAACCGACCGCTCAGGCCTACGTCGGGCACTCGCAGACATCACGCCATAGGGAAGACCGTTCTCGCCGTTACGGTTCTACGAGGGATTGAAGTGCCCGTTAGGGAGGAGTCGGCATTGGTCTCGCCGTTGTTGGAGGTGCAATGGGGCGATGTTGTCCGCACGACGTCAGTGGCGGACGGTCCAGCGCCGGTTTGGCAGCAGACAATGCATTTCGAATTGCCTCGACAGAACGGCGAGCACAGCGTGAGATTTCGTCTGTACGATCAGCACCCGGTCTGGGGTCAGCAGTGGCTCGGCGAAGCGAGGATTCCGCTCGAGCGTCACAGAAATTATCAAGAGCTCGAACGATGGGTCGCTCTGTCGCCTCTGTTCAGTCCGGTGTTGCTTTTCGGATACGTGCAAGCGAGCCCCGGACAGTCGCACACCAGAATTTACGTTCTTGTGAGAATGGAGCAACCCGGAAACGCAAATTCCGTCGAGGCCGGCGCCATCGACACTCTGTCAAAAGGTATTCAACGTTGTCTGGCAATTCCCTACAAAATAATTGGCGTGGAAACTCCTGACGACGCCGCGCGGCTCGCTATGCTCCTGTCGTCGTTGCCCGTTCACTACGGTCCGGTAACGCCACGCCAGGCCTTGAATGTAAACAAAGTGGATCATTACGGAAGAGCAGCTTTGTTAGCGACGCTGCTGCAGGGCTTCAGCCTACAATCGTACGTACTGTTAGGTATGTCGGCGGCTTGACAGTTATGTGCAAACTAGATCTCTTTTGTGAAATATTTAACCCATAGCACACACTATATACAGAAAAAAATTTCGAAGATAAGAACCGAAAGTTTTTTTTTTTTAAGTTAAAGAACAAACTGTTGGTTTAACAGACCATAAATTTTGTCTACCGTTAGAAAAAAAGGTCAGACAATCGAGTCAGGGAAATAATCGTAAAAAGAATTCAATTTGAACCTTTTTTTTTTTTTTATGTAATGATGGAGATAAGACAGGTTTTTGTTCGGTTAAGTAGAACCGTTTGTCCCGGAACGTGCTCTCGTTTTATTCCAACAGTTACATTTTTATTTGTAAACAGGTTCCTCGCAGATAAGTAAGTGGACAGCGTTCGTTTTGAGTATCGAGGAAAACGACGTTGTCCTTTGGGATCCTGAAATCGGAGATTATTACAAATTAAGCGACAGTCGCTGCTCGCTGATGAGAGTGTCTCGCTTGATCAATCACCTCGGCGTTAGTATACACAAAGCGATTAATCCAAGTGATCACGAATCTTACTTACGTTTTTCTGTTTCTTTGATATCGCAATTATCTTCGCAATAATTACTTCCTCAATTTTAGATATGGGAGAACACGCAGAAGTCCGTTTTGCCTCACAATCTGAAGTACAACGTGACGCTCGGCAAAGATTGGCGACCGCTCGTGCCGATCGCCGCGTCGACCGCCAGTCGATCGGTCCAGACACTGGAGTTGACCAACAACGTCGAGGATGCAACCATCGGGAACGAGTCCGCAGAAATGGAACAATACTTGCGCGACAAGTTAGCCGGATGGCGCAGCGCTCTCGGTTTGACAACGATGTTCAATCGTCACGCCATCAGCGTTCTACGGGACTTTCTCTCTGGCATTCCGAGCGAAACGGGACGCTTCCAACTGGACAGAAAAGATCTGAAGCAACTGTATCGAGTTTATCACGTGCACGGCTTCCTTCTGAACCTGCGTCAGACCGCCCTCGATGAATTGGCGGACCAACTGGCGGCCACGAAGGTCAAGGATGTCACGGGACCTATTGAATTCGCTCTCGTTTGCCACGTGCAACGATACATCGGCAAGACGTGCTCCATATGGATGGCTCTGGCGATCTTACGGAGTCGTGGTTAATTCTTCGATTCGCGACGATGTTGTTTTTGCTGTGTAGAATTTTTTTTTTTTTATGAAGAAAGTGTGTCCTCGAAAGCAAATTGTTGTAAATTCTGTAAATATCGTGTAAATAATTGTTGTGGATTGATAAAAAAGAGATAAAACTTTGATATGTGGAATCACACACATGTATTTCATTCACTCGATATATCGAAAGCTATCTAATCGCTTTTTAACGCACACGTTGCATCTCTAGATATCACATCGCTTATCATTTATGTCACGAGAGATATTATGATGTTTAATCACATTTATTGTGTGTAGTACTTGCCATATGCGTGCTCAATTGCAATTTTCCTATTTTGCGCATGATATATTTTTTTTAAGTGTATATACACACACAAGTGTATTTTGTATATAATAAAAACATGCGTATATGTAATAAAAAATGTATACAGTAAAAAAAAAACTATTTAAAAATAAATGGCATAATATTTAATAACAAAAACCTAAAAAATAAAACGCGTAGATGTTGTAAAGGCTGAAGTTTCGTGAAAAATTTGATTGAAAGGTTTAAATAAAAACGTGTAAACTGTCAAGAATTAACATAATGCATTTTTTTTTCTTTTGAGCATTGCGCAGCAATGCCACATTTTTATAACAATTGCGTCATATCCGTTACAACATGATGATAATAATAAACACACTTTAACAATATATAATAATTACCTAGAACGAGAAATATATTAATTACGAGGAAAAACAAATGACTCGCGCAAATAATTGTGATTCTTCGTCGTAAGTTCGTAATGTATTTAAACTTTAGTTGCTGCTGTTTTGCAAATTTCGCGATAAAATACCAATCGTGTTTCGAATAAAAAAGCAAATACGTTGTTCTTACTCTCCGTACGATTCGTTCCGTTATTTTCGATTTGTTTCATTACTGAATCATATAATTCTCATTCTTCTGTGTATGTACATATCTAGATTAACTTGTATAGAAAAGTGTTCGTATCAAAATTTTCTAACTGATCGATACTTTGTTTTTTTTTTTTTTTTTTTGTTTTGTTTGGAAGCAAGTCTACGGATAATAATATATATGTATATAAACGTGTGTAAAATCACTTAACAAAAACGGACGAACCATCGCACTGGTCTCTTCATTTTGTGTAAATTAATTAAAAATTATTAATTAATTACGTTATATATAGTTTATATGTTTTTTGTGAATTATATATGTGTCTAAATATTAATTTATACAAAATCGTAGTTCTTTAATAACACGATAAAAATGTGCCTGCGAGACTCAACACAGAGCTGTATCGAACATACATTTCGTTATGAGAAGAACTCATGAATTGGCCCGTCGTATCGTAAATTTCAAGTAGTCGATATTTTTTTATAGTTTATATAACAAATCTATACTTCAGTTTTTTCTCACTTTGTAAAAGAGAAGTGAACGCAACATCCACTCAAATATTTTAATCAAATCAGTTCTTTAATTTTTATTCATTTATTTTCGTTATCAAATTTTTTTGTTTGCGGTTTTTTAATTATCTTATTCATTATATCTATCTATTCCTTTTCTCTTATCGCATTCTTCTAGATAATTTATGTTGTCGAGAACCGTTTTGTTTGCTTTATATATTTTTAATTTTGAAAATAATATGGTTTTTTTCTTGTGATAATATTTTCATATTTACTTGGGTCTCCTCTGTGTGTATGTGTGTTAACTCATCCCTGAGTCAGGCCACGAAATGTATAGAGTCAGCAGGCTCATTACGTCACTTCTAAACGCATCCGGTTCTAGACACTCTGCTCTCAGTATATATTTGTTAATATGTACAGTGTGCTGGAGTCTCCGCGTGTGTGATGCTCTCCGTGATTATATGTAGAGCGCAATGCAATATTATAATTCTTCTTTTCGAAAAAGAAGAAGAGAGTTCCTCTTTTTCTACGCGCGGGAGAGAGAGAGAGAGAAAAGCTTCTATACTTCTCTTATCATCGAAAGACATTAATGTGTCGGCGATACACATACAGTCGTTGAAGCCGATGAGAGGAGAATCGCGAATTGATTGACTTTGAAATCACATCGTTGAACTTCACCTCGCGAAAATCCGACAACAGGATTTTAACCGAAAGCGAAATCCGTCTTTATCCCTTTTCTTACGATAAACTACTTTATTTTTTTTTTAGCGCCGTCGTCGATCGCGACGCACCGATTGACGTTAACTGCGCGATTGCTAAAGTCCATGACTATTTTTATTTATTTATTTGTTTTTGTTTTTTTTTTTTTTGTTTTTGTTTCATGCATCGGCGAGCGCCATCGCTACTGAATCCTCGATGAGAGGACACTTCGGGAAGAGAGTCGTCTCACTGAGTCTTCTTGGATACCCCGTTCGTGTAACCGTTCGCGTGTCCGTTCGCGACGATTCCGTTGCTGATCGCGCTGTCCTGCTGCATCTTCATTTGCTTGGCCTTTAGCCTTTCCAGCTTTTTCTCCGCATACGCCTGTTTACCCTGCACAAACAGAGTGTTATGAATTAGTTATGAATCGGTAAACACACACGCGGTAATAACGCGCGCGACTTGCGCCATTAGCTGGCAAAATCTCGAAATATATATCCGACCTTAGCGATATAAGCTTTGGCGTAGAAGTTCCCGAACAGAACGATGAAAGAAAGCATGTAGATCACGAGAGCGTACTGCATCCAGAGCGGAAAGTCGCATCCCGATCGGATGCCGTTGATGCCCAGAATCAGAGCTGTCGTGAACTGGATCAGCTGTAGAATCGTCAGGTATTTTTTCCACCAAAGATACTTGGACACCGAGGGACCCAACGCAGCGAGCCCGTAGTACGAATACATTAGCACGTGGATGAAACTATTCACCATCGCTGGCAGGAAAGCTGCAACCATGTATGTAAGTGTTGAGTCATTAAGTATGAAACTTGACACGTATATTCATATATTTATATTTAATGACTCAGTATTAAAAAAAAAAAAAAAAAAACATTATAATATAACAAGCTAATTTCTCAAAAAGAAGAAAGTCGCGCCACTTACTAGATCCACTCGGCACCCATTTGATACCGATCCACCACAATGAGAACATGGTGGAGTGATGGTAGACGTGAAGGAAGCTCAACTGATTGTCCTTCTTTCGTAAAATGAAGAAGAACGTGTCGCAGAATTCTAGAAGTTTGCTAAAGTAGTACCACCAAACCGCGTGAGCGATCTGGATGAAGAAAAAAAAATGAAAGTTCGAACCGGGGGGGGGAGAGTCCGTTTGTTGTTGTTTGCAAAAATTACCGCTGTGTGTGACTATTTGCATTAATTAAGTTACAAAGAAAAAAATACTATTTTTGTATCTACTCCGTTTTTTTTTTTTTTCAACTGTCGCTAAAATGGAAAAGAGAAACTTATTGGATTGTGTGTTTTTTTTTTTTTATTATTCTGAGTTTTCTCACCTGAAGTTCATCAGGGCGGGTAATGTGTCTTATTGGCTGGCACACGTAACTATACCGTAACCTTGTGGAAGCTACGAACAACTATACGAGAGAAAAAACAAAAGTTTCTAATACGAAAATTTTAGTTTTTCGAGAAGAAGATAAATTTAACAACATCACGTAAATGTCACGTCAACATCAGCGACGTTTTTCCGCGGTAAAAAATATACTCACTTGAATGGCAATGTAACCATTTAAACAGGCCATGGCGAGGTTATAAGGTACTAACGCCCATGTTAATTTGAAAGCTTTCCGATTTCTCATGATCTTTGGACCTGCCCAAACAATGAGAAGATACAGCAGCGTGTATATTAAGGTCGGTTTCGGTGAGTCCACAAGTAACCATCCTCTCGATCTTTCGTCTAGAAAACCGTCCAAGAGTTACGTTAAGTAAGAATTTGGCCCTTGTAAAAAAATATTTCAACATAATTAAATTAATTCTTTTTTTTATTTACGAAAGTTGTTAAAATTATTATTATTACATTACCAAAAAAAAATCAATTTACATAAAATTCACTAAATACACTTGAATGCTATAATATACGGGATAAAAAACAGATTGTTCATAAATTAATAACAAATGTTTAATACCGGCAAGAGACAGCGTCCAGAGGTAGTAGTCGTATGCGTCGTTGATAAATTGTGTAGTCGAATTAATAAAGCCCGCCATCTCGTCTGCATGAAAACAATTGATTTCAAATTAATTCATTTTGATTTAATTTTAAGCGCAATAATTGTTCGAAGCGACATCAATTCAACGACAAATATTATTCTAACAAGAAAACTCTGTAAAATTGCTTCTTACGTAAAAAATATCTCGATAAGCTTCACCGACGTTGCAATTTTTGACTGACGCGGCAAATCTTTGAAAATTACACCGTGTAATTTCGTCACGTCATTTTTGCAAATTATATTTTTCTAAACTTTTTTAGCTTCGATTGCACAAAATCTGCAATTCGTAAAAAAGTTTGCGCCGCAGATTTCTCGTGAAATACGAACGTTGAGAGATGACAATATATATATGTATATATATATATATAAATTGTTATATATATATTTATATATGTATATATATATATGTTTACGGTGTGCGAAATCTTTCTCTGTTAAACGAAACGCGCTATACGTTTATTTATCAGCTCGCAATTAGTTCGTTAATAGCCATTTCTTCGATGCACATTACGCGGTCATTCACTCGCGTTGTCCGTATCATAGAACATAACTTTCACGCTCCCCGAAGAAACCATTATACCGCTATCTCCCGAAGTTGTTATAAACATGTCTCTCGACGAACACCTTTTTCCCTTCTAACTTGTTGTAAAGCCGACCATCCATCAATAAACGTATCCTTTGAGGAAAGTTACTTTCTTTGAGCGAGCACAGCTTTGCGCCGAACTTGTCGCAAACTCGGTGATATATGCGGCGCACTATACTTTAAACTAAAAGAGATAAACAAAAAAAAAACACGAAGAATTTGATTTCTTGATTGTTCAGACCTTAACCTTTGCACGCGCGTGAGAGAGTTACAACGTCTCAACAAGTCAAAGAAAAAGTGTTTTCACCTGAGAAGACATTTGAATCTGTGTCGCGCGGAATGACGAACTGAAATATTGTTTCAATTCTCAATCGACACGATTAGAGCCGATTTGACGGAACGCTATTGATCATTTCCGCGAGATCTGCGTCTTATAGCGCCTTTATTACCACCGTCGACAATGTATTGCGCTTGCGAAATGTAACGTGTCATTGTAATCGCGAATGTCATTGTATGCGCTCGCGAGGTGTGTAATGTATCGCGTGTAATGTATCGTAACTTATCAGACATTCGTTGACACACATGCGCGAATGCTTAAGCATGCATTCCGCAGAAACCTCCTTCAGAATCGCGAGATAGATAATAGAACGACTAGATGTGCGATACGGTATGATGATAATTTACGATAGGATAGACGTGTACATTAGCGCGCCGCGCGTATATATATCGCGATGATATTAATTTCTGCACAACACGCGTGTACGCGCGGATCGAAGAGAAAGCTGAGCTCTACGCACTTTTTGTGATGGCTGACATTGCAGCTGCAATTTTCGCGACCGTTACCCGTTAATACGTTAATACGACATTGTGACATTAAATCCCTGAATTAATTGAATACAATAAATTCATTCACGAGCAGCCGGAGAGTTTCTCTCAAGTTCTTCTGGCAAACTTAAAATACTCCCGTGTGAAAATCTATTTAAATGATCGCAATGGCGCAAATCGATAGCAAAAGAATTCTTTAAAGATATATTTTATGCCAAACAAAAAAAAATCGATGCTCGCTGAGAGAGAAAAAATTTGCATTTTTTGCATAGCGTAGTGTTACAAAGTATTGAAATTGTCCGAATGTATTTATTCTGATGTCTTTCGCGCGATTCGATTCAGCGAATTGTAACGCGGATGGAATTTGCAGTAAAGTCACTTTTGTTTCGTATAAAATATCAATTATCACCGCGATCATTAAACCGTACACAAGCGTGTGAGCAGAGAGAGAAATAAAATCTGAGAGAAATCTTCGAAATCTTCGAAATCTTTTTCATTGAACTCTTCATCAATCACAGTATGTGTAGCTTGTAATGAAAGCAACGACCGGCATACAGGCGATGCAATCGAAGCGAAAGTTAAGCTCGTGATGCACTTTGTGCAAATCTTCGTACAAATAATTTATCAAATCTGTGAATAGCTTATACTAACATAGAAAAAGAACTAGAACTTTTTTTTTGTAATCTTCTTGAAGCAACGATAGTAATTTCATAAGTACACGAATTATTCGTATCACCTGATCTCTTATATTCTTTTTTTTTTTCAGATTTCAAAGGTGTTTACGCGCTCTTTCATTTTTAGAGTCTAGACATAATAGTTTAATTAACATTCCACGACTTTGTTTTATTTATTTAGATTTTTAACACTAATTGACCATTGTTTTTATTTTGTACAAAAAAAATTAAGATACCAATATCGCTAATAGCATTTTTTTAAATTATTAACGAGTAAAATTTGCTAACAATTGCACTTTAAGTAAGTGAAACGACAATGTGCATTTTTGATGATGCAAAACATTCAGTCTAATAAATCGCTATATCAGAATTATTTTTCACTATTCCAGCCAGAAATAAATAAACCTGATTGAATTATCAATGATCTTTTCTCGATTAAAATAGAGAGAGAAAAAAAATTTTTTTTATTACTGAAATAATGGTTTTGTTGCTTTGCAATAGAACGACTGACTTCACGAAAACTTCGATCTTTTTCTTTCGTTCAATTTTGTTCACCGCGTTTGCACCATTATGTATTACTTAAGAAGATTCACGTCAGAAAATTTTGTCCATTTTGTCACGAAGTACAACAATTTTTTTCTCGCGAAAGGAAGAAGTTTCCTTACCTTGACCACACAATTCTCTAAATCAAAAAGTAGTATCTTGGTATCAACACGAGAGTTCGAATCCTTGCTCTCTTCGTGCGTTTGGCAGGAAAATGCCAGAGCGAAGTGACGAAAAAATCGTTCCGAGATGGTGGTGTTTCGAGGGAAGAAAAAAAAATACAAGTACAACCGCACCCACGTAACTTTGCTTTTGTTTTAAAATAACATGGCCTGTGCACGAGCGCGTGCGCTTCAAGAGGATGACACCGCGCGAGGTGTCCGCCGAAAAGCGTTCTTCTTTTAACTTCTTTAACGAAAAAGCGAGGACCGTGGCACGTCGTGGTCGCTTGATAAAGTGGCAGCGCCGTTTGCCAGCTTAGCCGGTCCGCTTTATAACTTTGGTGCGGATATTCGCCGCCACCGTTGTGGTGTTTGGAGGTGGTCGATCCGATGTTAGTCGTCGGAGGTGGAATTACCTCTAGTCGTGGATACACGTAGGAACATGAACGTAAACGAGGCCAAAACCACGATTGCGTGGTGGGAATCGATCGTGGGGATAGATCGTCCGCGGGAGATCGGTCAAGGCGAGACACGTGCGCGCTAGGTAGGATCGAGACGAGATCCTCGGTTTGAGATTGAGGTATCCCACCCTTTTTTGTCTGCACAGCGGCCACCCCCTCTTTCGCCTCGGTCTTGTGATGTGGAATTCCACGAAAGCGGAGATAACGCGATGCACGGAATATTCCTCTATTTTTGATCCTTATTTCCGCCCGAACCGATCGATGAACTTTGATCATATCGCGCGTTTATAATGAAACAAACATAATCCAAATAACGCGAAGAGAAACGAGAGAGACTTAATATTTTATGCAAATTTACACTTCCTGTTTGCATTTCCCAAGCCTATTTGTTTTGCACTTTTTTAAGTAAAGCGTGATTTGAATAAATTGCGATGTTGATATGACGACGTACGATTATCAATTGTACAGTATTTTTTTTTTTATGTTAATTATTTTTTTGATTCACTTTGCATCAAAGAGACGATTACTCAATATATTTCGATATACACTATATTCAATCGATTATTTATTTTAATCATTTTTTTTTTATCAACCGGGTAAAGAGCGCAATGTCATAAACTATTTTGTTATATACAAATCAAGTTTATAATTATTTAACAATTAACGACCGAATTACGAGCGACTGACAATTAAATTGCAGAAGATAACAGATATCATTTATTTTACGAAAATAAAAATATTTATAAAAATAAAAATATAAATATTTCATTAGCAAAATAATCTCTCAAAAGAGATACACATGTGGAGGCATAAACTCTCATGTACAGAATTTATCCCGCTATACGTATATACATAGGTACGTGCTGCACCACATCATCCGACGTAGCCTCGTTTTCAAAGCGAGAGTCGCGCGGCATCTCCGCATTCACTATGCGATCTTCACATTTATACGACGTACACGCGCTCCTGTGATTCTCGCGTTTAGAAAAGTGGGCTCCGAAGCAAATTTTTTTTTTTAACAGACGTTTCTTCTAAAAAACCAACTTAATTAAAAATTTTACAAATAGTATACACGACGAAATATAAAAGAATAAAATAAATATTTATCAACGCCGCTACTAAATAAAAACAATCTCTCGCATTTTTAATTTTTTCAAAATTTATTATGTAAAGCGCGTACTCGACCGAAATTCTTTCCAGACGCCCTTGCTTGAAAAGGAACTGGTTTTTTTCTTCAATTAATTCCTCAGACAAACAGGTGACGCGAAAACACAAATGATGATTAAGGAGAAAGCGATGAAGACATGCACAAAACCTACAGGTATGTTTATATCTTTACACATAAAGTTGCACCACACAACAATAATTTCTCGATTGTTATCTCTCTCTCTCTTTCTCTCTTCTTCTTCTTCTTTCTCTCTAATATTTTAATAATAAAAAGTATAACTTTACGTGCAGAGACATTAAACAAAGTCCCCTCTGGCAATTCGTAAGTCAATGAATTAAAACGGGTCAACAGATCGCCGGAATCGCCGTGTAGCACGGTTCCAAAATCTAAATAACTTTATTCATACTAGTCGCTTTTATATCGGTCTTCTGTTTACCTTTCACCTAAACTCACAATCTTTCGTACTTACACGATTCCACGCTTTGCACATCTGTTCACAGATTTCTCCCCGATTTGCCTCCGGTAAAAACCGTTTCACGCAGGAAACACATCCGTTCCGTCGTTGATAATCGATTTGCCATCAGGCAGCAGAAAAAGAGAGTGAGAGAGAGAGATAATTGAAAGTAAAATTATAATTCACACTCGAAGATTTTATTTACTGACATTAACTTGTTAATCTCGGGTCCACGAAATTTTGATCCACAAAAAATTAAGCTGATTAAGAAAGAGAGAGAGAAACAGGGAAAAAGACAGAGATAGAGAGAAGTTGCGTAACAAGTGCCACGGGAACAAACGATGAGACAAGCGCACGTAAAAAAAAAAAAGATCGAAAGCAAACAAATTTTGTGTCATGTTCCGTACGTGCGTTGACGTTTCGCTTTTTTTGACGCGAAGTGTCGTAAATTTTAGCAAGACTACTAATGTTTCTGTTGCTTTTTTTTCGATTCTCCCTCATATGAGAAAAAATTCGCACTTTCGCAATGCGAAATTCTCATATAAGAAAGAATTCGCAATTTCGCAATGCGAACTCATATGATTGAAAATTCGCGATCCCCAAAAAATTCGCGATCTCCT